CCCACGGTCTCCAAACATATGAGTGCAACTGCATAATGTGTATGCACTTATACCTTGATCATTAATGGCTGAACAGGTAACTAGCATTTGGCAAGTATATACTTATGTCCTGCTTTATTGTACAAACAGCAAATTAAAGGCTTAATTTTTTAAAGTTTTTAAAGTTTTCATGTTTTTAATTTTTAAAGAAATTATCAATGCATCATTTACATTTGGCTATGAACCTCAAGCTCATTCAAGATTTTGGTCATTGGCAAACAAGATCTGTGAAAGCTTGAAGAGTAAAGAGACTCATGAAAACAAAAAAATTGTCCTTCATCTGTTTGCAGAACAAAGTTATGTTGCAAAGAAAACCCAAGTATTTTAGCAACTAAGCTTTCTCACTGACAAAAATTTTGTTCCAGGCCAAGAAAACTTTTTATCAATCAACGAGCTTAGTTGCTAAAAAGTACTTAGTAAATGAAAAGTGTGATATACATAGCATGAGCTACACAAAAGTGATGTTGGTATTCCTATTAAAGGAGGATATGGTACTTGGAACTGTCTTTTTTATTTATTGACTGAATTCAATTTATTAGCACCCAATAGTTATATATATTTTATTCTGCAGATTACATCAATGCCATAAGTTTTGCAGTGACTCAAATAATTATTGAAATAATCTATGTTAATTGCTATTATTTAGAAGGACAAAATATAAGTAGGAACTTAAGTTTAATACATAAGTGAAAAGCAGAATGTTCTAAGCACTGGAGTGCTACAAGCAGTTTTCAAATGCTATGTGTTATTTTACACTTTCCATTTACTAAATACTTCTTAGCAACTAAGTTCATCAATTGATAAAACAATTTCCTGGCCTGGCACAAAGTTTTCAATATTGAAAGAGCTTAGATGCTAAAAAACTTGGGTTTTCTATGAAGGAGGGTGCAAAGTTAAAGGCTTGTTTCCTTTGTTAGACACAATATTAATGAGAACTAACAGACAATAATGCCAGGGAAAGTATAGGTGATCTTAATTGTCATGTAAATTTCAAGGAAAAAAGTGGACGAAAAGATAACTTGCCGTAGACAGGGACCAAACCTGCGACCTTCTAATAACGCATCTGATGCTCTACCAACTGAGCTCCTACGGCAGCTATCCCCACATACTTTTTATGGGGCATATATGTGTCTTAAACATGGAAGCGTCAGTCAGCACCACCGGTTGCCATGGCGGTGAGTGTAGAATACTCACCGCCAGGCTATACTGCACCTGCATGCGCTTCTCTCTGCTTTTAAAAAAGAATGTTATCAAATGGCTCGCCGCTAATTGTAGGTATGCATGTGCTCGTACATAATACATGCTGAAACTCAGTGAAAATTGGGAAGAATGAGCTAATGAGGCATAATGCAGGGGGCATAAAGCACTGGCAATGATCAGAGAGAGATAAAGAACGCTGCGCCTGTTCTGCAAGCAGACAGCACCAAATACCTCTGGCTCGTCGTCTTGTTGGACAATGAGGTCCCTTACAGAAATGACGAGCACACCTTCCCTTTGCTAGCTATTTTCCAGTTCTTTATTTTTCCTAATACATTTTGAACGGTTAGCATAGCAAAAAGCTGCGGTCTGCAGCTTGACAGCTCTTTGAAACTCGTACGTGAGTTGTATCTCTAATGGTTAAAACTAACTGTGTATGGGCAGAAAGTAAAAAAAAAAGAGGACTGGCTACTGAATAACCCTTTTGGACGGCATGCCCTGAGAGTGGTGGTGTGTAGTGTCAAGGTGTTAACATCAATTCTGGGGACCCCAAGCTATTTTGCATTCTTTTGTGTGGCAAGCCACACTCATGAAGAATGCGAAGAATGAAGCTGCTTACGCTCATAAGCTGCTTGCCCTGAAACTAAATCTCTTTAGTGCAAATCAGTTATGCGCTATTCGTAGAGTTCGTGGAAGAACATGTTTAGAAAAAGAAACTGACAACATTTCAACTTTTCGGCAAGTAAGCATCTTTTTTTTTTTAAGAAATCTTTATGCGCTCTCTTTTGGCTTAGTGATACAAACAGGTTGTCAATTTCCTTTTCTCTCTAGTGTCGCTTGGTTTATTCTGGAATTTGCCCACTACGGCTGCATTTTATTCAGTGCTTTTTCAGTGTTCAGTCTGCAGTGGTTTTTCGACTCTAGAAGACGGTCGCACAACTTTCAGTGCACGCAGTGTGTAAATGAATATATGTTAGCTGTGTGATGGTGTATTGCTGTGTTCTGTATCACAAGTCCCGTTCGGGGAAAACACCCGGTGTTTTTTTTTTTTCACCATTTCCCAAGCAATGCTGAGTTGTGCGCTAAATGGCAAAATAATATTGCGAGAGACAACTTCATCCTCAAAGACAAGTCTGCGTCAACTGACGTATGCGGCGACACATCGAGATGAAGACTATGTGCCTGCATGCCGCATATGAAAACTTCTTGACTCCACGACTACTCTCTTCGAGGACTATCTTTCCAACTTGATTCTAAGTGCATAGAAGCCTCGCGAAGATCCTGCTTTACAAGCTTCGCCCCTACGCCAAACATCAAGGAAGTGAAGTGGAGACCAACGAAGCAGATCTGCATGTTGCGACTTGACAAGATGCTTTCACTGGACAAAAAGCAGTAAGTGTTTGCACGCAAACAATGAACAGCGATACTCATCACGTGGGTCGATACCTGGCTATGATTTGTGAAGTCTAGCAAAGTTTTCACTTGAAAGTGTTCAACTTTTGCCAGTGCTTACGAGCAATAAATATTTATTTCTAGACCTCAGAATGTCTTCACGTCTGATGGAGAAGAGCTGTACTTCCGGCTCTTGCACTTATACATTTTTCTATAAACTTAACTTAAGTTTGAAGCACATTGCGCATATAAGATGTCAAAATAAACCATTTGGTCATTTTAAACAATTAGACAACATGTTTTTCAACGTGCGGTGAGTAAAGAAGCATGCCTGAACTCGTGTGCCAGCGTTGCGTGCGCTGCACAGAGCAACAAAGAAGCATGCCTGAACTCGTGTGCCGGCGTTGCGTGCGCTGCACAGAGCAACAAAAAAGGGTCAGGGTCGAGCCCCCCCCCCCCCCCCCCCCAAGTCAGCGGTGAGAGGCATGTACTACACTCGATGTGAAGGCCGTAAAAAGCGAGAGAGTGCATACAGTGTAGCCCGGCCATGTCTCTTCTTGCCTGTTTGGCATCATGTAGTATGTGGTCTTATTACAAGATGGCATATGACCAACAATCTCTCGCACATCTCCTAAAGAAATCAAGTCTGTCAGAACAAGACCCTCACTATGAAATGGAAGACATAACTTTGTTCTACAAAGAGATGAAGGACGATTCCTTGCTTTCACGAGTCTTTCTTTACTTTTCAAGCTTTCACAAACAACAACAAATAGTAATTTAGGAGCCTACTGAAGTTCAATATTGAACAGTTACTAGTGATCAAGAACAGTAGCAGACAAAAGCTTAAGAAGAAAACTAAGAATCTTTTTGCAGTGCCTCAACTTTTCTGCATTTAGCTTCATATAGCAAAAAACATTACAGCTGTAGCTATCTTAGAGCTTGAGAAATTATTGTGCCAGACAAGCAGAGTGACTCAAGGCTCTTTTTTTTTTTTTTGAGAAAATGCAAACAAACAAACAAGGCTAATATTAAACTGAATTTTACACAAAATAGTGAAATCTTTTGTTAGATGATTAGCAACCACCAGAAATATAACCCATATGACTACTACAGTAGCTTATGTCATTAGCAGCAGCATGACACAAAAAGTGCATTTTTAGTGCTTTTTCTTCGGTGAAAGTACTGCTAGTTTTGACTATATAAATTGACATTGCGGCTGAAATAACAGTCAAAGGTGTGAGAAACTTTGTCTAAAATTGTGGTAATGCCTCTATATTACAAAAATACAATTTTCAAAAAATCTATTATTGCTATGATTTTTTTTATTTATAACCAGTGTCATTCATGAAAAATTAGTACCTATAAATTTATATGTGACATATTCCTTATGTAATTAAAGTAGCGCAGTTTAAGCCTCAAGGTTAGGACACAAATGCACGACCATTTATGACATTTATTGGCAACCACACTTCTTTCCACAAGTTTGATATTTTCGAAGCAATTGGCACCCTCTAAAATCTTGATATAAGGCATGTAAAAAAAACATAATCTGAAACTCTCCCCACAGAGTAAAGCAAGAGGTGTTGAGTTATAGAGTTACGTTTCTTACTCACTGTACTAGTAGTACACATTAAGAAGTATGTCCACCACCACTGCTGTTTGCGAATACATTGTGTGATATTTTTGTGTACATCTGTGTTCGCGGTACATATTACCTCAGACTGTGCTTCTCTCACATTTCATGAAATTTCCTCCATAATGTCTTGTACACCTTCACAGATCTATGAATTATGCTTTTTTTAGGTTAACCCTTGGCAAAAATGATGAGGCATTTGTAGGGCAAGCAAGAAGTTAGGATTAAGGAGCATGACAGATAAATATTACAGCAACATTAGCTCAATCATTCAAATTGTGAACATAACAAGGCTTTGTTAGCAACTTGAGCATTTTAATCGAAACAAGGTTGATGCTTCAGGGAAGATGGAAGTTTGAAATGATGAGAAAACGTAGAACAGGAAATGTAGCTGAAGCCAACATTTTCACAAGAGCACTTTTCTTCATCAAGGCAGCAACATTGGTTCTGGCAACATTTTCTATTCGATGATCTCTCACTGTGAGTGCTATGATGATTTACATGCCACAAGGTACTGCAGTGTTGATGTTATATATTCACGTAATTTTTAATGTAGCATAGCAATCCACATGAGCACTTAAGAGGGAGTTGTTGCACAGATGTACAGAGAAATCAAATGACAATCACGTCATGTGTGAAACTTTGTTTCAATAGGCACTGTTTCATAAAATGAAAGTACACAGCATGCGTGAAATAAATGCATAACTAAAATGCATTGCAAAATGACAAAGCACCTTACCTTCTCAAAGTACTCCATAGCCTCTGTTAGTTGCACTGTGACATGAAAGAGTTTTGCTATGCTGTAGAGCAGCACACCATAAACAGGACTGTGTGGCCCATAACACTCCCTGCAAAACAAAACATTCACAACAGCTTTATTGTAAGCATTATTGATGAAAACTTATTGCCATTCTGTTAACTCAGCAACCATATTTTACTGTGAATTATGATAACCCTTATGATAATGCCTGCAGCACTTAACAAACTTATTAAGTGTTCTTTATTTATGAGTTTACAAATGTAAACTAAAGATTTTCTTAGTAAAGTGCAAGTCAATTTGTGCATGACTTTAATCTTTTGCAAATGTCTTGTAATCCTCCCCAAATAAATTTTTAGTAGGAAATAACACAATGACATAAATATCCCAAACTACAAAAAACAATAGCAGAGCCAGCTGAAAAATTAAATTAAGCTGCAAGTGACTCCTGATGTGCATGTGTTAGTGAAAATCACGTAATAAATTACACAAATTGGGCAAGCGTTGTGGTCACACTGGAGGAAAGTAGTGAGTGTGTGTAATACTGTTGAGCTTTTTTATCTAAGCTTAGGCCGATTCTTAGCAATTACCCCTTCCCTATTCAGTTGCATTTGCAAAATCTTCACTGGAAGGAGAAATACTTGTGGAAAAATTATTTGTTGTGCAGAGAGCTTTTTCATGTTATATTCTTATGATGAAAATATTTTTGTAGTGGTGTTTGGGTGCACACACCGGAGCCTTTTTCCACACAATGCAGCATGAGAAATCAATCAGTGCAGAAAAATGATTGTATGCTACTTGATTATGGTAAGCCGAGAACAAAAAAATTAGGCACCTCTGAAAAACAGGAAGAGTACGACTGTTTTTAGTTGACAGGACAGAAATGAATGCTGCCCTTACGTTGTTCCTATGCATAAAAAAAGTGCCATACGAATCTTGCTGTACCCACCTATATATGGACTCTCGGGCCAAATAAGGTGGCAGTGCACCCCGGTAGTCCTCCAGAGCTAGGCAGCACTTGGCCTGAAGGTCCAGAGCATGGATGCGAGCGTAATCGGTCTCTGAGAGCTGCTCAGTTTCCAACAGCTCTTCAGTCCAATGGTGTATCTGCTGGAGTATTGCAGTATTCTGCATTGCTGTATTGGGGAAGAAATGTGGCAACACTGATTGTGCTGTTCTAATTAAGCATTTAAAAGAAAACTGTCACACAGACTATATTTTTAAGCGAGCCATGTGAAACCTTTAAAAAGGTTTAATCTGCCAGCTATAAAAACACATTACAACCAAGTCGAGCAGTGCCTTATCCTCAGAAGCCCCAACCACAGGGATTATCTTTGGCCCGTCCGATGAGCCCATGAATAGTGGTCAGACTGAGCCTGCCCACCCCAGCGTGGTAGGAGGCCACTGCACAGTAGTTGTGTCTTACAAGACTATTAATGAAGTTTGATCGACCAACGAAATGTTTTCTTGAAAAGACAAAAAAAATAACATCTGTTCATTCGTATACCCCAGCTTAGGAATTTTCCCTCAACTTCGAAGGTTTCTTGCCAAGAAGCCCATGCAAACTTCCTTTGCACTAGCTTCATGCAATAAATGAGATGAGGAAAATTTTTCTCCTTCCTGAACATATTTCTAGCTAGTGGGCTCCTGCAGAGATTAATTTCCAAACATTTTTCACACCAAAGTCTTGCAAGGAGATAAGCTGTAAGCTCACTCTCCCTTTGGTTATCCATACCATACTTCATGATGTGCAGCTGCGCCCTTGCTGCACAGCTCATCACTGATCTGAGCTCTGCTACTGGTACAACATTCAAGATTCTACATTGCCCAAACGCAGATGCAATAGAATTGGCACAGAGGTACCACTTTTCTTTTGCACCTCGAAATGGTCTCCCTGCTAAGCTGCATATCTGATTTCTTTATCCTGGCCAAACCCCTGCCTAGTTGTAGCATCTAATAAAATGAAGAATAGCCATTGTGTGCATTGGGATGTGACAAAGAACATGTAGTAGGCATATCAATAAGTTAATTGAACAAAAAAACAGGCAAACTTTTAAATATGCAAGGTCCTTACTGCATGCTCACGAATAATGTTTGACCAGGCCGTTTATGATGGTTCTGTCCAGTCACTAAGCAGGTTTAATTTCTTGGTTGAAAAAGCTTTGCACAGGTCCTTTAAGTGAACAAGATGAGGGTTAGACATTTGTTTAATAGACGCACTGAAGAGTGGCATCGTCAGGAGGTTTGTTTTTACAATTTTCACATTTTGTACGTGCATATTCAGGGTTTGTCTGGAAAGTAGGACTGATTTTTTCCCCACCAAAATATAGTAACGGAGGAGCATGTTTCTGCACCACCACGTGGCTCTGCTCTACAAACAGGGATACGCAGACCCGATGCCTTGCCATCACTGGAGGACTTTGGTGGAAAGATAACAGAATGTCACTCTCTTTAATTTTATTCAGGCGACTTAGTGGCAGCAGTATCAACTTGAAAAGTGGAGTTCAACCAACATTTATCATTCCGCATGATATTGTTATAGCAATATCTTGTATGATAAGCTACATGATGCATTACTGAATGTATCAGAAATACAGATGCTACAAACACTTGTTTTGCGAGATGTATCAGGACATGGATACAAAATACCCAAAGAGTACTTAAGATGGTATCCGAGATGCATGCACCTTCGATACTGCGCAGCACTAATATAAATTTCAATTCTGCAGGCACTGATCATGCATGCAGCTATACAACAATATTAGACATGTATTGATATGACAATGGCTTTAGATGGCAAACATTCCTTACACTGCAATCAGCAACACAATTCAATTTAAGCATCACCATCTATTCTGGAATCAGGTTTTCTTGTGACAACAGCTTTAGCACGAGATAGTTGAGGTGAAGAGCAAGAAAACATTAAATGCAGCCCTCACCTTGCATATCAATTTTCTTCATCTTTTCTTTAACACTTGCAGTAAGCGCACGTGACTTCTCTGTCACATAATCAGGCACCTGAAAAACATATATTTCAGTGATTCCACTACACAGATGAAGCAGAGAGCTCAAGTAATGCCAGTGCCATGACTTTTTTTTTTTTTTTTGGTCATATTCAACATGCAGGCAGACTTTAGTGGTTGGTGACCTAGGTGGTAGGCCAAGGTACAAACAAGGGGGTGCCACTAAGCATACCTATAATTTATTCTTTATATTTATTCTTTATATTTATTGAAAACAGCACCCCACACTGTATGCATGTTTTTTTTTTTAAATTCAGCTTTTAGCAGACAAAATATTAATTTTATGCCACTAGTGATATGTTTACTAACAATTCAATGTCTTGCCTATAGTTGGATATAACTTTAGAAGTCCGTGGCATTTCCTGCCCAAATGAAGATGCACACAATGCCTGCAACAATGAATACGCACTCCATACTGATGTCATGAGCACCTTTGGAGAACAATGCCGAGTGCATGAGTGGAACTAATTATTTAGTCACGGAGGCGATTGGCTGCCATGTTTTAAATGTCTAGGCAGATCTTTTCCGCAATTTCGAAGCTGTATTCAACTACGGTTAATATGGGCATATATAAACAGGAAAAGTATCCCGATGTTCGACCAGGTTGCTTCAATCTCTTAGGTATGCCCTACCTATGTGAGCTGATTCCTAACATCTTGCGCACTGCAGTGCCAAAACAATAGTGGAAAAAGCCATTGCACTGCTCTGCCTTATTTGAAAACCAAAGCTGTTTAAGCTAGGAAAAACTTCATTAGTCATGAAAAAATATATATAAACCCGAATTCACTGTCTTCATTCTTTTTTTTCACTTCCTGCTTCACTACCAGAACACATAAAAAATTATCTTAATAAACAAGCACGTGCATATTTCTTCCCTTTTTCCATTTGCTTCATTCCCAGTAGATTTACGCTAATTTGACAATTGTTGGATTTAACTGCTTGGGTGGGTGAGAGAAGAAGTACGAAGAGAAAGAGAGAAGGAAAAACATTGAAAGGGAAATAGAAAAATAAACAGCAGAAAGAGAGGAAACGATAGAAAGAAAGAAATAAGACAGGGAGAGAAAGAGATAGGAAGAAACAGACACAAAAGAGAAAAAAAAAAACAAAGCGCAAGACAGCAAAAGAAAAAAGAGGAAGGGAGAAAAAGAGAAAGCGATAGATCAAGAAAGAAAGATATAGAAACAAACAGAGACAAAGAAAGAAAGAGAAAAACAGAGCAGAAGAAAGAGAAGGGAAATGAAAAGAGTGAAGGCAGCCCAGCACTCGACTTCCTTCAGGCGACACAAGTGTGAAGCTGCCTGAATTTTTTCTGAGCCACAATACTAAGTACCAAGCATGTAACATCGCATTAAAAAGTCACAAAATTATACGGTCTAAATAATGAAAAACACTGAAGGAAACTTGGGCCGATGAGAAAAAAGGAGACACAAAAAACGAAGGCTCATCTCGAACAGATTAGGTCACATTACAGGATAAGATAATAAATTATAATTATATTTACTTTCTCTTTAAATTATCTTAATTACAGTGACCAATTACTGTCCCAGATATGTACTTTCCTTTTACATTAACCTCCCCTCAGCTTTTAATGACACCAGACGGACGAACATGGTAAACATAACAAGTTGACCTAACCTCTTTTTTTGAGGACACCACCACTTTTGCAAAGAAATTAACTGGTCACAAGCAAGTGATTACAGAAAAAAGTAATTGAATTTACAATCAGCATTAGTGAGCTTAAGAAGCAACTGATTAATCATAAAACCACCAAAAGCAGTCACGCATATATAATTCATTATTTACAAGTCTTGCATCACTAACTTTAATAATTACTTTTACTCAAAAACTAATTACTCAAACAGTTCACCAACATAATGAAAATTTAAGGGCCCATTTTTGTTTGTCTAGCAAAGAAAAACGAGCTTTTAAAAGTCTTCATTCATTCATTCATAGAGAGGGTCTCATTCTGGCAGACTGGATGCCTTATGATAGTACGCGAGAAATTATTGGCTAGCTTGTAGCCTGTAAAAACATCACATGCTTCACAACTCCAGTAAGCAGAAAAAGAGGGTTTCGCACTCAGCGTCATGGCCTCAGGAGGTGTTGACTTACACTTTCAGGTTTAAATGCACACACATACCCCATAAGGTGGACAAGGGGATGACCACCACTGTAGCTGAGTTAGTGGAGAACCAGATGGATTATTTGAAGGTCACAAGTTCGGTCCTGGCCAGCGGCAAGTTATCTTTTCATCCCCTTTACTTTCTTCACTTTTACATAATAATTAAAACAAATAACATCCCCTATACTTTCCTTAGTTTCTTGTTCATTAGTTTTAACCAATAAAGGTGGGTAATATTTATTTGAATGCCAGTATATTGCATTAGCTACTTCTACTCTTAAGCTACTTATCAGATCTACAGCAATTCCTATCACAGTAAGAAGCACATTCCCTTCATGCTTGAAATATTCTGCTATGAACATTTATTGAAGTAGTAAGGGATAACTTCGTTGACATGCATGACTTCTGCATCAACTCTCTTCAGCTATCTTTCAATAAATGGCTAGTGCAATATCAGGTAGTAACAAATCCTAAGATAAGCTGACATTACTCTGAACTAAGCATCTGAAATAGCAAGAGGAAAAACATACCGTGTCACTGCACTTTACACATTTGCACTCAAAGTAGTACTGGCTTCTCAACTCTTCTTGCCTCACTTTCCTGGGAGCCATCACATCAATGTAGCTGACTCTGATCTGCATGAAGTAAGAATTTGGTATTACAATGACTACTGAGAATAAACAGTTTTCCCAGGGGTTTTATAACACAAATTTACGTGCATGGAGGCACAAACACACAAAGCACAAAACATCAAAATCTTCCTATATTGTTGGTTCATGAAATAGAAGCAGTAATGAAACAAAGCCACTTCACTGAGTGGATCTTTTATTTATCGAGATTGCACCACAAGTTGCATAAGAAGCTGTTCTTGAAGGGCAACTAAAGGAAAAGATAATATTTCTCACATTAAATTACAGCTGCACAATACCTAAATCCCAACTTTCAACGCAAGAAAATGCTCAGTAAGTGAGAACATGCACAAAAAAAAAAAAACAATACAGGTGGTGATGTTGCCTTGGAAGTTAGTGTACCAGCTCACTGTGACATCATAGATTTTGACAGTGTTTGCTAGAACTACATCATTGTTTACCAGTAAAAATCGTATAACTTTTTTTCGAAAGGATTGAAAGTCTATAAATATAGCAAGTTACGGAAAATTTTGTTGAGCATGGTCAGAATATAAAAAGGGCTTTGAAATTCGTGATGTCGCAGTGACATTGACATGCTGAAGTTCCGGTCCAGAATTAATAAAATAAAACTTTGACCTTCATTTTCTTTTTTCATAATTAACTATATATATATATGTAGCAAAATTAATCCTAATAGAGACCTTAGAGAATAACGTAGTATCTGTCTAAACTCATTTAATGTTTTATTTTAGTGTACCTTTAAAAGTTGGTAAATTATCAAAGGCCTAACATAACGAATAGGTATAGTTTTAAATTAGGCAAGCACTGACAAAAAAAAAAAAAACCCTTTTTTTTCTCTTTGTTATTAGGGAAGTGTGTCTCTTTGTGTACATATTTTACATTAGTGCTTTCATTAAAAAGTAGTAGCTTTGTAGCTGAAAAGTTTTTCCTAAAGCAAGTGGTGAGTGAACGTGCATCCCAGGACAAGCCTCTCGTATATGCTCCGTGCTTAGCGTGTATCCACATGACGGACTAAATTCGCCTTTTCTGTGGTGGACGGAGCATCACGTGACCACATGTCATAGATTTGTGCCATTCATGCTGCATCCGCGGACCACGCGGACAGAAAATACCAAGCTATTTTTCGCATTCGGATTCATGCAGACTAACACATCAGATTTAGCCGAGATTGCAATTATAGGTCTGGTAACCAGCAAAACTTCTTTTTCTCGCTCCTTTTTTTCCGCACGGCCTCTTAAATTTGATAGCACTCAGCCTACCACAGATCACCGAGCTCATGTTCTGCCGAACAGGCACACGATAAACCTACAGCTCTCAGAAAATGAGTGCGGCTCGCAAAAACAGTGTCAAATCATCTTGAATAAGTTTCCGTGAAGTTTGCAGACACAAACCTAAAGCCAATACAATTGTCAGTTGAAGATTAACAGCCCTTTGGGTGCACGTTAAAGAACCCAAGTGGTCGAAATTTCCGGAACCCTCCACTACGATGTGTCTCATAATATTACGATGGTTTTGGGATGTTAAACCCCACATATCAAACAATCAATCAGATTAACAGCCCACACAATGCATGACAAATGGCTTAAAGATTTGAAGTGGGCAGACCTCCCTTCAGACAGTGCCACCATGTTTATTCTTTGACACCTCCATCTACTCGCTTCGTCCATCGTCTGTATGCGCTTCACAGCCAGACAGGCGGCGGAACGATCGTTCGTGGAAGAGATTTCTGCGGAGCTCTCCGTCGCATAGATACATAAACAAACAAAAAAAACTGTGTACAAAGCCAGAATGCTTGTCCTGAGTCGGCTGTATGCGACTTTTAAAGCAGTTAGAAGATGTTGTGCACCTTTTTATTAGCACTTGTTTTTCAGAGCATGCTTGTTCGAACACTTTCAGCTCCTAATTTCATACACCTTGCGTCCGTCATTCTTGTTGATATGAGGTGCTAAAAGGGTAAGGTCCTCAGCATGCGTGAATTTCGTAACCATCAATATTATTCTCTCGAAAATGTGAATAAATGTTGGCGACGTGCTGAGTTGCCAAATAACGAACCTCTCTGCCTTTCCAATGTCTTTTTCGAGGAGAACTGCATGCAGGGTGACAATGGGCATACTCGAACGAATGAGTATAGTATTTGTAATGCAATTCGATAGAATTGCACATGCAAACTGGCAGTGAAAGTGTCAAGTCAATCAGAATTGCACCACAGATGATGATGATGATGTGCGGTGTTTCATAGCGCAAGGGCCATTTGATGGCCAAAGAGTGCCAGGTCGTGGGTCAAGAGAAGCGAATAATGGTTATGATAGGTGGCTACATAAGGGCCTTAAAATTCCTCGTGCTAACGTGGGTAAAAAGATGGAAGCATTAAAATCATGACAGTGACATGAAACATGTGTAATGAGAATGAATGGCGAAAGATGGTAATAAAAGCATGGCGGAGATGTAGACAACGCAGCAGTGACCTCAGTTGAGAGGTCGTGCTACGGAAGGCCCGGGTATATGACATGAAAAGTACCAAAGTCTCTTAAAAATCCTAATAGCAATTTATGAGTAAAAAGTAGTTCCTTACCGACAAACATAGCTGGGTGAAGCGGACACTGTTGTGGAAAGTGTTGTTTTCTTAGTGTGTCTAATTCTTTGCACTGAATTAAAATGTGTAGCACTGTTAGTGCTTCGCCACATCTCTCACACAAGGGCATATCGCCGCCAGACAAAAGGTATGAATGTGTAGTGAATGTATGTCTTGTCTTTAGTCTTGTAAGTGTTACTTCTGTGCGTCGTGATTTTGATAATGGCAGCCAATGACCAAGTAGCGGCTTGATAACATGCATTTTATTATGTGTGTGTCTGTCCCACGTGCTCTACCAATAGGCCCTAAGCTTTTGTTTTAGAAAAGATTTCAAGTCAAGTGCTGAAATCACTATTGATCTACTGGCAGCTGTTTCGTTGGCGGTTGCAGCTAAATGGTCTGCCAAAACATTTCCTTGTATCTCACGGTGCCCTAGCAACCAGCAGACTATTACATGTGTATTGAGTGCATACACTGTGCACAGGATTGAGTAAAGGGAGATAAGAATAGAGTTTGTTTGCTTTTTGGGTGTTTTAAGGGCTTTCACGATGCTCAGGGAATCTGTGTACATTACTGCACTTTGTAATTTTAGTTGTTTTATGTGTTTAACAGCTACCAGTATAGCATAAGCCCCTGCTGTGAAAATGCTGGTGTTCGGATGCAGAATACCAGCATCTTAAAAAGATAGACCGACTGCTGCATAGGAGACAAAAAGGCAGGTTTTTGAGGCATCAGTATAGAATTCTGGACATGAGTATTTTTGCTGCAGTTCTAGAAAATGCGTATTAATATGCGCATTGGCGCATGCTTGGTGACTTGTATAAAAGATTTAGGGCTGTATGGTCGTTAGATAACGTTATGAGCAGGTCGTGAAGCTTAATAATGGCTCCATGCTCGTGGAGAAAATCCATTCGGAGAATTAGGTTTTGGGAGCATTCGCGCAATACAACGAAGGAAACAATGTATGTGAACTCACAAATTCGGAAGCGGGCAGTGCATATTTCCAGCGGTGTCAATAGGTGACCTCCCGCAGTCCGGAGGTTGGTTTCATGCCTCCAAAGTGTCGTTACCTTTCTTAGCTGTGCAGCGAGGTCAGCACTTATAACGGAATAATCGGCGCCCGTATCTACCAGAGCGGTCAGCGGGTGGTTGTCGAGAAGGACAGAGATGCGAGCAGAGACACGTTTGTCGTCGATGGCACACGCCGGTGAAAGGATGCCGTTGGATGTCGGCAGGCAGATCGGGGGAGGGTCTTGTAACGGTCGATCAACAGTGGCCTCACCCCCAGAGGTCGCTGTTCTTAGTTTCCCCGGCGTGGGCTTGTGGATCTAGGTGATCTTCCTGCAAGGACGTCCGCAAAGGTGGATTGTTGGCCAGGTGACGTGGAACGCCGTGGAGACGGTGACCGGGATTGGCGACGCAGAAGGGTTGAGGATCGCTGGCTTGCCAAGTATTCAGAACTAGCACGGGACCACTCACCATCTCTGGGCCGACGAGCATCCGGACGAAAGCCTGGAAGACTCATGTGCCTGTATGCGCACTCACGGTAGACGTGACCTGGTTCACCACAGTGATAACATAAAGGCCGGTTGTCGGGAGCACGTCATACGCTGGATTTTCGTGTAAGGGGTGGGTTGCCGTATTGCGGTGGTCCTGAGTAGAATGACGGCGCCATCTGCAGGGTGGACGGACGGGACGGATAGCCAAAAGCCGATGCAGGAGTACGTACTGCTTCAGCGTATGTTAATAGCGGAGCTTCGGCTGGACGCGGGGCCGTCATGGATTGGATCTCGGCTGCACGCAGAGTCGTCATAGGGTGCACCAGCTGCCGGACCTCTTCGCGATTGACATCCGTTAGAGCAGCAACATGGGGCGGAGAAGACACCACGTGCAGCTTTTGCAGCTCCTCGCGCACAATACTGCGCACGAGATCCGTCAGGTCTCTTACAGTCATGACGTCAGGTGTTGGCAGGGCCGACAACACAGACGAAAGACTACCAGGGCGCTCATACTGATACGAATGCTGCCTTAGCATTCTCCATTGTCGTGGCTTCGCGGAGGAAATCCTCTACAGTGCTAGGAGGGTTCCGCACTAGTCCAAGCGAGCAGCTGCTCTTTCACTCCCCGCATTAGGAGGTGCACCTTCTTCTCTTCCATCACTGAGGAGTCAGCTTGCCTGAACAGCCGTGACATGTCCTCAACGAACATGGCAACACTCTCATTCGGACGCTGATTTCGGGAATTGAGGAACCCTTCCGCTTGCTCCTTTCGGTCAGAGCTTCGGAAGGTGTTCTGCAACTGGTTGCAAAACTCTGGCCAGGTTGTCATAGTGACTTCATGGTTTTCGAACCAAGTGCGAGCAGTCCTCGAGATAAAAGTAGACATACCGAAGCTTTCGCTGCTCGTTCCTCTC